TTATTCCTCGGAGCACCACATCCTTAATTCGATCAGATACTGACCCAGGAAAGAAATGAAAAACTGTAATTCTATCGTAATCAGTCCCAGAATAAATTTACCCACATTGATCTGAGTTCTTGTCTTATCAAAAACAGAATATCTCATCAAGACACAAAAAAAATTGAGATTAGCTTATACTGGCACGTTCTCCACAGGCCATTTATTTACAGATTAAAATGTATTTACCACTATGACAAGCAATGAATGGATGATGGCATGTTTGAACCAGGTAAACTGAGGGAGTTTGTTATCACAAGTGAATGGACAAACAGACAAACGAAACAAATAACGTGTAAACAAAAATAAACACTGAAAAGTGAGTTTGAGGCTCTGAATGAGGTGAGGTAAGCTGTTTCTGTGGTTTAACTAAGGGTTCCTAGTTAAATTAAGGTCGAGAAAAACATTTAGTTTACCAACTCTCCTACAAAGATAAAAATCAAATCTACGTCTGAGCACCATGTGTTTCACCAAGACAAGTGTTCAYCTTTTTCCCTTGTATTCTGCCGTGTGGGTACCAGGAGGGTGAGGCCAGCGGTGGAAGACCATCTCTGGAGCTTGTTCTCCAGACAGGCTCTTCATGCAACTTGGACGTCAGGCGGTCTGCTTGGTAGACTCGACTGGTCCCTTGGTCAGAAAAGGAGTCTCTCTCTCTCTCTGGTGACTTGGGAGTCTGGTCCTTCACAGGTGGCTTTAAGACCCTCAATTTGATCTTCACTTTGTAGGAAAAACGGACTAAAACGACGGTTGAATTATCATTAGCTTAWTTGACTCCTTTAAAAAATCAAAACTCAAAGGCTGAGTCAAAGTGGGATGAACGAGCTATTACGGGTCAAAYAGCGGAGATGTTGGATGACCCCCCTTCCCATCCTAATCTGCACAGGGAAGGCCTGGCAAAAGGGGGTCTCCTGCTTAGAGGCTGCTTCTGGTTTTAGCTGTACTCTCGTCTGTGTTCTCTTCTCCTTCCTCTCCTTCTGTGTACTAACTTTTAAGACCTCTGTTATGGGCGGAGTCAAGGTTTTAGTTAGCCAATTGAAAAACTTTAGTAAAGTTTTTAACAAATCAAATGTTTGGAGGGAAAAACATTTTCTTTAGGACAAAGAATGGGAGTGTTTTAGTCTAATTATCTTGCATCTAATAAAAGGGAGAAGCATCTGCTTTACCTCAGTAAAATAACAATTTCCATTTAGTTAAATTCAAACCTAAAGTTTTCTAAGGTTAACTTTCGTAACAACACAGTTTAAAGAAACATCTTTTTCAGACATCAATAAAAACACACAGTTAGAAYAATGTTCTTAKTGGGCAAACAGTTAAAGAGAACAGAGTAGTTTTCTTCTTTTATTTAATCAAGTATGTGGCTTCCCTTGTTCAAGTCAGGGAAGAGTCTTGTTAAAGGCATGTTATGACCCTACCCCCTTCTCTTTGAAAAAAAGAGGCATTCCTTATGGGGGTTGGAAACATCAGAGACTTGTGGCAATGTACTGTAAATTCTTTCAGTTTCTGAGGCGCCATGGTGACAGTTGATATGCTAATTCAAAGCACAAAGGATCATGCCAGATCCTTCACAGGAAGTAAAGGTCATAAATTGAAGGAGGAAAATGCTACATTATTAAAGCTTATAATCTCACCACTTGAAACATCACTAGCCCTGAAGC